AGAGAGACACCTATAAGACATGCGTGAGGAATTATTTTGATTGGTTCAGCTCTAAATCCAAAACCCAGCCACTGGGTACCAACATCCATGTGGAAGTAGGGTGAGGGATCCAAATGAAAGTGGGTGAACTGTATTTTAATGGCTCATTAAAGATACAACAACCACCACCCTTCTACCAACTGAATGGTTGTAACATTATATGTATCATATATCACATTCAGGAGGTTGCCTTCACGGTCCACCACCACAGTAGCTTGAAATTGGATGGTGGTAAGGACTCCCATACTCCGCTGGAAGAAAATATGGTGGAGAGTCTGGAGGAACGTCAACACAGGAGACAGTGCAATGGGTGATTACTAAAACCCTATTCTGAAAAGCAGACCATACCTGATTTATTTATTCGAAGGCATGGCAGGGGTAGGCAGCTATCCCCTTCTGCTTTGCCCAGGAAGTCAATGGGAGAATATGGTCCAGAAGCATATTAATGAAGCAAATATACCACAAGGAAAAACCTACAAGCAATCTTGTGGAACATCCCATCTCAACAATGAGTGTTTTATGGCCAGGGACATTAGAAAAATGCATTCAACATTGCCTGACAGTGTAGATTTGACAATTTCAAGCATACCTGGTCAGACACCACAGTGAGAAAAAGCCCCTGAAAAAGAATATATATATAAAATAACACCCAGTCACAGTCTCATCAAAGTTTGAAGAATGGCTACAAGCGGAAGTTGATAACTCGAAGATAACGACACAATGATCTAATGTAGACGGTGAGATATGAATGTATGTGGGGTAGTCCAAATGCCCAATTGAAGAATTTCCTCCAAGGGACATCAGAGATGAGATGCAAAGTTAAGGTGCCTGATCAGATGAGAAGACACATGGAACAAATTACAGGAAGAGGAAGATAAGGAAGAATAAGCCAATCCAATTAAAAGCCAAACCCAACTGATGAGGGTGGAAGGAGAAAGGTCACGAACAGAGGATGTCTGCCAAGGAATGAATAGATGGGAATGGGCATCATAGAAGAAAGCCATGCAGGCAACATAACAATGAAGAGTATGAATGGGAAATAATAGCCTATCCAGATCTGACCAAGGATAAAGGTGGGAAAGGTAAGGAAGTGAAATTGGCAAGAAGGAGGATTTACTCTTCCAAACCGCCGAAGTTTAGGAAAGGAAAGATTGATCCAGATAAAGGAGAATATATGTGGAATGATATAAAGTACATGAAACATCGATGGCAAACAAATCTGACTGGTGACGTCCACAGACTAATGGGAGAAGGAAAGAAATCTTATGGAATAAGTGAAAAATTGAGCATGAGGACAAAGGTTCAAATGGAGGCAAAGTGAGGCAGTAAAGAACCACATTAACATCCCAATCCAGAAGGGCTGCACACCAAGGTGGATGACTAATCCAAAAGGTATGCAACAATAGGGAAAGGGTAGGAAAGGTAAAAAATTATGGTACCTGGAAAAACAAAAAAGGTGTGGAATAAGGCAGCCCAATAACACATGATCAAGGAGACAGAAGACCCCTGATCAAACAGCCAAGTGAGGAAATCAGTAATATCAGTGGGTTGAGCAGGGAAAAATGCTTGACCCAAAGACCAATGGAGGAACATGTTCCACTTACGATGATAAACATCCCCAGAGGAAAGGCAAATGGAATAAGCTAAAAAAGAAGCAAACTGGAACTCCTCGCCGGGGACCAAATAAAAACCAGACATGAAAGCGGAGGATATAAAGGGCTGGATGAAACACTGGTGACTGAGGTTCACATAGAAGGGATGGAACAGAGGAAGATGTAATGGAGAGGCAGATTGGAGCAATCAGGACTTGATATAGAGTGGCATGGATGATCAAAATCACCCTGTGAAAAAGATGGATGGGAGGATAAACATACAGGTATCTGTTGGTCTAATCTTGACCGAATGCATCAACAGCCAGAGCAGGAGAATGAGGAACTGGAGACCAAAACAGACATAACTTGGTATTGAGGAATGCGGTAAATGCAACCAGGTGATGAGTACCCCACTTAAGGCATAGCCACTGGAAAACATGAGGATCAAGAGACCAGATAAACTTTATTGGGACGGGAAAGATGATCCTCAACAAGATTGAATGCACCCAAAAAAGGAGATCCGAGGTTTAACCACAAAGGGAAGGAGAATGGGTGCCACCTCGGTTATTGATATAAGCCACCACTGTGCAATTGTCAGAATGGGTCATGACAAGATTATTCCTGGAAAGATGAAGAAAATGTTTTAAACCACAATTTACAGTCAGATAAAATCTTTCGACTGGAGACCACCAACCTGAAGCTTCCTGTTGACTGACCCATGCCCCCAAACTTGAAGGGAAACATCCATGAAGATATGCAAATACAGATGAAGGGGAGGAAGCAGAACACCTGCCAACATGTAGCCCTTGTCCAACTGCCAACACAGATCACCTACAAGTGAAGGAGGAAGAGAAATAGAAGCCTCCAATGGATTTCACTGGTCATGCAGAGACCACTGAAGAGACCTCATATGCACTAGACCCAAGGAGATAGGGCTTCCATGAAAGACCAAAATTGATGGAACGTTGCACACTGTAAGAGAGGGAGCAGTAAAGGCATGGAGAACTGAAAGCTCCATTGAACAAAGTCAAAGAGGAAAAAATTAGGCCTGACTGAGATGAGTGTTGTAAAAGACACCTGAATGGACAAGATAATGGGTAGGTATAGGGAATGACTTCTCCAATTCGATTAACCAATCCACACGAGCTGCCTCCAGGAGCAATAGATGAGTGTGATAGGTTGATTTCTGTTTGAAACAAGCTAACAGAAGCCAGTCATCCATGTACTGATGTAAGTGCAACCCCTAAGTATGCAAATGTTGGGCAAAAGCTTTGACCCCCAAAAAATGACATATGGGGCCAAATCAAACCCAAAGGGCAAGGCACAAAATTGATTAACTATCCCCTGATGAATGAACCGAAGATAGTGCTTCACTGACAAGATATTTCGAGACATGCAGGTAAGCATTCAAAATGTCTAGCTTGATCATCCACAAACTGAGAGAAAAAAGCCCACCTGAGGGTAAGAAAAGACTCCATGGTAAATCAGGTTAGAACCAAAAATTTATTGAAGTGGGACAAATCAATCACAGGCCACTAGTCCCCGGTTTTCTTGGGTACCACAAAAATAAAACCTGGAAAAGGATGATTGACAGGTTTGATGGGCTGCTGGAGAGAATATCTTGTACCACCTTAAACAGGCATTGAATGGTGGTAGGATCCCGAAGCAATCGAAATAAAATAAATGGGTACCAGAGACAACAGAGGAGGGGAAAGAAAATGGATGACAAGTCCCTCAAATAATACCCAAATAACCCACATATCTGTGGCAAAAAGTCTCCAAAGGGGAATAAAATCGGTCAAATGAGCCCCCACTGGTTAGTCACTAGTACTGTTGGTGATGTGTCCATCTGTGTCAAATAAAATGACAAGATGAGGAACTCCTGGAGGTAGGAAGAAGTAAGGGCTGGGAAGGAGATGGATAGGAAACAATAATAGGAGGATGTCTAGGCTTTGAATGAGACAAACAATCCACAAAAGAAGAAAGGATACTTTATTGTTGCACACGGGATACCAAAGTCTCAGGAATATTACCAAAAACATACCACTGTAGAAAAAAGAGCCATATGTGAGTCCCAGAGGTAAGTAGGTGGTAAATGAACCTGGGACAAAGCAACATCCCTCCCTAGGAGATCCCCAAAACAGAGAAATCATGTGTGTAAGGATAGAGCCAAAGAAGATAAATGTGCCAACATGGAGGTAATCTGTGGATTGGATCAGAAAGAAGGTGAATGGAAGACCAAGGTCCACCCCCCACATGGACAAAATCAATTCTAACTGTTGATAATCGAGAAACAGATATTCAGCCTGATGGTAAGCCAAGGCAAATAGATCCAAAGCCCATCAACCATCTAAGAAGCAAAATGCTGAGCATGAATCCTAATATCCGTGGAAGTGGGGAAAACCAAATACTGAGAGGAGGAGGTACCATGTAACAAAAGGAAGGGAATCATATGAAACCAGGGAAATGGATAAAACAGAGCATACCTGAGAAATCATGTCTAAAAAAAGCTGTGGTAGGCCTAGCTGATTCCAGAGTATGGGGATAGGAAGACATGGCAAAATCAGGAGGAGGAAAAAGATTGTCAGAATCCTCATCGATCTGAACAGGTTCAGCATGTTCAAGAAAAATAAGGGCAAGATCAGAAGAAGGTTGAGTCATATAATGATCAATCTCATGATGGATGATAGCCAATAAGTCCAAAGACAAGTCACCCCCACCTGTAGCCTGTATGAGTGTGCTAGCAGAAGTTATTACCTCCAAAGTGGTAACCTAAACTTCAGAATTCATTGTGCAAAAATGAAAAACTGGGAAAATAAGTTATCTGAAAAGTTGTTAACTTTTGAAAAACAAAGAAAAGAAAATAACAGAAGACAAATCCACTTTGGAATAATATAAAAAAAATCATGAAGTTGAACAAAAAACACAATTGAAGAGCATTACTACAACGTATTGACACGAGTGCTGCCAAATGAGAAATGATAGTTCGGTAGAATCGAATACAGGGAGTCACATGCATTAGGAGTGTGTCACACTCTTACTGGTGGAGGGTTGTCGCATGATGATGTACAGGTGAGGCACAGTTAAACCAGTTGGTCGTAAGATATGTGGAAGCTCAAGGCTTGTGGCATGTGAAAACAATTTTTCATATAGAGGGCAGCACTGAACGAGAATAGCTATTTATGTGCAAAGAGGTAATGTACCATATCAGAAACCATAAACATGTAAACTTTAGGTACTCTGACCTTTGTTAAAAAAATTTCAGACCCTCGCAACACTCTTCTATGGTTCAAATTCCATAAAAATGTATTCAACATTGTGTGTACTTTATTAGTGTTATAGAAAATGCACAAACAAGAAAAAACCTACCTGCACCATAAAATGGTAGCAAATGCAGAGCTGAAAGTCCACCATGTTCTTCAACATGTGCAAAGTGACGATACAAAAGAGTAATAACCTCAGATTTTGTAATATTTGAGAAGTTCCAATGTTCAAGTTTTGAATTCAAATTAACTTTTACTGGACAACCAAGAGTATTCTTGCTTGGGCCTTTAATTTCTTCAATTTTCAGATAGCTCTCTTCTGAAGAATTTGCCATTTCAATGCTTTGGAATTTTATAGTTATAGGAAATGAATTAAAATGTATTACTGTTTTTAGTTTATTCTCATATTCTCGGCTTGTTAATGAACTGCTGTCACAAGAATCAAAGTGCCATTCAACAAAATTTTCATCAACAGTGATATCAGGCTCATCTGTTTGGTCTGTTTCATACAGGTCTGCATGAAAATCAGGAACTTCTTGTGATGTATGCTCAAGTTGGTAAGACTGCTCATCTTTATCAAGCAAGACTTTTAACACTTGCACCTGACTAGGACTCATTGCAGCAATAATGTCTTCACAAATTGCCACTTCTTTAGGAGCAAAATTTATTTCCAAGTCCATTAAGAGATCAAAATCACTAAATTTTAGCTTAGAAACATCATGGACTTTTGGTCTAAAGCTATAGATTCTTACAAGCTTATAGAGACCTACCGCTAAAGTTCCAGTTCGTTTGCAGCAAGCAATACATGTTGCATGCCCATTAAGTGGCAATTCAATCATTTCCAAGTGTCCACTACCTGAATGAGTACTTGGTGTAACACATCCTGCTATTCTTACCCTCAGAGGCTGGCCTTTCATATCAGTCCACCAATTTAAGTAAATACGAACATAAGTCAACGTTTTAGACCACCGGTTTGACTTTTTCTCCAGAGTTGCTACATAGTTTCCTAAAAGAAATTACTTAAAAATTAATGAAGTAAATTAAAATGAAGAAAATAAAAAACAAGAAGATTATGACACCTTCAATTTGATATTATTCATTAACCTACAATGAAGTGTTATAGAAAAAATGTTTTTTTAAGATAGGATAGTAATTCATAACAACTTGTTCACATGTATAAATATTTTAATAGTCAGAATTAAAATAAATTTTAAACAGGAACTTACTTCTGAAATACTAAAAACCTTTCTTTTTTACAGATGTTCTCATGCTGTCAAAAATATTTGACTAAAGTTCTGAATGTCTTTGACACAATGCAGAACATGTGACAACTTACCCATACTTCTCCACACTCCAAATTTCCATGTAACTTATTATACTTGAATTCAAAGGATATATACAAGCTCTGCTTTCCTGCCATATTCCAGATTTCATAGTTGCAGTCATGATGGAAACTAGATATCTCCCAGTTGAGGGGAAGTGGGTGGGAATGTATTTCAAGTAAGCACTTTTTTGAAATATACTTTAATTCTAACAATTTACAAATTCAAAACCAGCAGACTTACCCCTGAAATGCAAAAAGCCAGAATACTCACGCTGAGATTGGGAGGGAGCAAAAGCATTATAACGACAACTGGGTAACCAAAATTTGGGTTCTTAGGCAAGAAGGTAATAGCACAGACACAACAATTAAAAATTTGATGAAGCAAAAAAGAGAATCCAAAACCAACGTACATTCAGTGGACTGGATTCAATGGAAAACAAGAGGAGTGACCCAGCCTCATAAAAGGCTGGTCCAAATGAGGACATAGAAATTCCATTCATCTTAACAGGGTATCATCTCTCCTTCATCACCCTTTAAGTAATAGAAGAGTGTGCTAGCACTCTTTATGTAGGAAAGGCACATATGCTCATATTAAAGCAACACAAAAATTATCTGGATTTTCTTCTCTACAGGTCATCAGAAGCTAGATATATGCTGCTTGTCAGCTATCCAGAGCATCCCAAAGGTGAAAATTGGGGAATAACCAAAACCAAGATTCCTTAATCTCATTTATCATCATCTTTCTTCAACAGGCCTAGTGCCTACCTAGTTCTAACAGTAACTATAATTTTCTCATCATTTGATATCGCATTACAGTCTTCACGATCTTTGACTACCTATTTTCATATTATTCTATGCAAGATTCTAAACAAAGAAAAAAATCATAATTCTTACATAAATGATGTTATTACCCCTTGAAGTTAGCATTCTTACAGAAATCTCATGTTCCTTTGAAAAGCTTAAATACAGGGTGAAACAAGAATTACCAGCCAATAATAGATGAACATTAGATGACTGTAACATGTAAAATACTCAATGCTTTTTACACCATACAATCGGTGTCTTTAGGGAGCCAACACATATATTATGTATGAAGCGATAGAGCAAAAAAAATCATTACACAAATAGGTCATCAGAAACTAGATATGTAGAGCCAAAAATGCTAATTACTGTGAAAACAAGTACCATCCTGATTGTTTAGCTAGGCCACAACTGTAAAACTGTCTGTGTGAATTACACAGAATATTGGTGGTAAAGAGACAGAAACTTGAGACAGGCACATTAAAAAGCTCAAAGTTCTAATACATTGATGTAAACTGTTGCTTCTTAAAGACTCCAGAGAGGCATCTCTAAGAAGTTGAAGATCACAGGAGGATGAACAAAAATATATACTGTTGTCTAGATAATTTGTATGATGTCAGATGCCAGTGAGAAGCAAAGTCCCACTAGGGGCAATGCATGTGAGTGCAACCTACAGGAATTACTTAATAGCATATCATCCTGAAATCAGAGAGAATGTCTTTCACAGAAGGTATGGAAGAGAAACCAGTATGAACATGAGACTCCAAGGTTTCCAATGCCACAGCATATGGTTGAAATGTTCCTTGAACTGTGCTGATTCAATATCCAAGATGTACTAAATACTAAATGGGATTTGAATTTGCAGAGATCTGAGATGAAGTCAATAAGATGGTCAAATAAATGAGAGCAAGAGACTGAGTGAAAAAAAAGGATCAGAATAAGTCAGTCATTCACAAACAAGTGAAAGTTATTGGCAAAAACAACAAACACTTTTAACTAATAATAATTAATCATAATAATCAAAGTTTGGTCATTAGAGGCAAATGACCATGTATTTTATTATGCTTTTTCATAATTAATTACAATATTATTTTTTGGGGATATGTGTTTTTTGTTATATCATTATTTCCCAGTCTCAATAGAACAAACATAATTAATATAAGTATTTTCAGTAGTCACCAAACCCAAGATGAGCTTCTCTCTTGAAAATCATATCATACAAAATAAAAGCCAATAATGGTGCAAATGAAGAAAATGATGGATGAATACAGACAAGAGGTTAAACATCCTTTATATCCATCTTCATCATCAAATGGCATTAACAAAGAAACTTCTCTAATATTCTCACGTTTTCCACTTTGAATTAAGATGCATCTAGGTAAAGTTTAAGTTGAGGCAGATCTATGACAGGTCTCCGATCTTCTATTTTCTTCAGAATTGCATAGAGACAGGAGTAAAAACCTGTAGAAGTGTGATAAGTAATATCTATGACTGCTTTTGGAAGGAAACATAAGACATTGTAATCCAGAAGTTATAAGCAAACGGGATGAGAAAGACAAAGAAAAATAGGACAATGATGAAATTGAAATTAAACACCAAACTGAAGGATCTACTTAATCCAAATGGACATGTGAGATAAAATTATCCAATGAATGAGTTGAAAAGACCCATCTAGCCTACTTTGATGGTAGGCCACTCAAAAGTGTCAAAAGATACATGTGTTGCAGGCATCAACTAAGATTTAGACAATGCAGGTGAAGCAGTAGGATGAACATCACTTGATAGTCATCATGAAACTTTAGGTTACATATCCAATCCTGACTAAAAGAATGAAAATAGCTAATAACTGTGCAGTAAAAGAAAATCTCAAACAAGACAAATCATAGTGGGCAGAGCAGGAAACTGATGAAGAGTCAAAATAAAAAACCATATGTAAACCCCCTCCCTCATTAATCAATCTGAAGGACATGAGCTTGAAATGTAATATGAGTAATGGAATATGAAGTCTATTAATATTTTACTAGTTTATAAAAGCATCTGCAATATTCCAAACATCAGGAAAACGTGGAGAAAACAGAGATTCAAGCACCGAATCATATAATATAACACTAGATCTGAGAGAACTGAGGTCAGAAGCTCCATCTTCAAAATTAAGGTTAGCAAACAAATCCTGTTTTGCTGAGCAAAATATAAATCTTGTTCAAAATCATGAAAACATCCACATAATCATGAAACCCACCAGAAGCACCAACAAAAAATTCATCATTAACAAAGAAGATGTAGAAGTCTTGAAACTGTTGGAGGTATCTGTATTAAACTTAACACTGACTTCCAGCTTCAATGTAGGAAAGTTAAAGGCAAAGTTGTCAATAAAAAATCTGTATCATGGTGGGAGAGCAAAGCTTATATACATCCTCTTGACACAAGCACAAGTCACATGAAAGGTTGGAAACTGCAAAAGTATAGATAAGTTGATGCATACTCTGCATTGTGTAAAAGGCATTCAGAACTTTAGTCACATTTGTTGATAGCATGAGAGCAACTTAACAAAGAAAGTTTTTTCATATTTTACAGGTAAGGCTGCTTCTTTTGACCTTAAATTCAATAACGTAACTGAGCAGAAAATTAAAAACTTACCTGAAAGTGTATATCAGATAAATAACATTCTGCACAACAAACAGCTATTACAATAAAATTTAAATCCACACTAATAGAGCAATACTAAATTTATATGGATACTAGTTTCAACATTTTACAATGCTTGTTAGAGTGATGAGGACATGTGAAATGTCAAAACTAATTTCCATATAATTTTGGTATTGTTCCATTAGTGTGGATTTAAACTTTGCTGTAAATTATCTATTTATCTTGTTTATCTATTATTAAAACAGCTATTACCTCATGGACTGCTTTGAAGGTTTTTTGTGTATGCATAACCCTTTAATGAAGCTCCCACCCAACAGGTGTGTTACAACGTATTGCACCAGCCTATGCTGTAATCATCAGTAAATTATATCCCTCATTTTTTTTGTTTTATCAGATTAAACTTTAACATTAGGTCTATGTACAGAAATGAAACAATTTTCACAGGAAATCATGACATTCTATGGTTTACTGATATAATTCAATTATAAAACTGCAAATGTCTATCTAAGTGTTGGTTAAATCTGGTAAACAAATCTTATAAATTATTTTAGCTTTATTAAACATTAATTACTACTTTGATACTTCATCCATTACAGAAAAACAAATATCAGAGCTTTAAACTGACTTGTAACTCCAACTATAAAACAGAGCATTTGAAATAAAGTTTGATGATTAATATCAATGATGAGAATGATAGTTTAACCTAACGACTTTGTCGTTTGTTAAACCATTAGTAATATTTCTGTGAGGCAATATGAAACTAAAAATATTTCCACAGAACAGTACTGCCTCATTATAACATTACCATCCAGAGTTGTGTACCCAAGAGCGATACAGGTGGAGAGCATTATAACCAACTTGTCAAGAAGGCACTCATGTTGAACTAAAGCAATCAATTAACTAAGTGTTTATTTAAGTAGGGAAAATAGATATTTAAAAGAACATAGATAGAGACAATAATAATATAAAATATGAATACAAACTTTCCAATATTTCAGAAACCAAGCAAACTCATGTTCACTTATTTACTCAAAAAGTCTGATACTTTAGTCTACTTCATTTGATTTTGAGCCTCTAAATCGGTTGCAATTACTAACAAGACATCTCTATTTCCTTCTGACAGTGAGCAGTGTCTTGGTTTCACCCGTAAACAACTCTTGGAACTTCTTGCCCTCTCCACAAAGTTAAAACATTTCCTCTTTAATGATGTCATTTAGTCAGATAGATGGAATCACTGCTGGGTT